TTCAGCAGAGCGATGAGGCTGGGGAGATCTTTTGACTTATCAACAGCCACTGAGCTCCAGCACAGACCTGAAGCCTGTCTCCCAGGGTAGGGCCCAGCCTGTTCTTAAGCTCAGAGGAGACCCACATGCTTTCAGGTCATCCCAGCATTTCACACTGACCAGCAAGTCGAGCTCCTTGTGAGCCTGACCCTCACGCCCCTGGCATCGCAGCATCCCACCCGCAGCTGGGCCCAGCACCCGCTTGTCTTTGCGGTTTCTTCTCACCTCAGTTGCTCTGGTACAGAAGCACACGTGCCCTGATTCCTCCCATAGCTGGGGCACTGCGCTCAGCAACGCTGCACAGGCATCTCCTCCATCCACATGCCTGACAGCTGTCTGCCCCAGATATGCCACAGGCAATTGTCTCATTCCAAAATGCACAGATTTTAATATGAAAATAATTTTGTATAAAAATATTTTTTAAGATGGTGACAGCGAGCAGTCCTCCATAAAGAGCAGGCCACACACTGCAGCAGGAACCCCAGTCCTGTGGCCTGGCTGGACAGGGAGCCAGAGTAACAGCAGCAGGCATGGAGAGATGCAGCTGTCTCCTCCTGCCAGGCCAGGCAGTGGCTGGGGAGCCAGCTCCAGAGCCAGGGAAGCCCCCTGGCACCTGCATCAGCCACAGCTCTCCTGCTCTCAGCTGTGCAAAGGACCTCCAGGGAAATAAAGCCCCTCAGCACTGAGGAGCCAGAGGGGCACTGCCTGATCCAAGACAGTCCCCCTGCCCAAGCCCATGCGCAGGACCCGTGGAGGATAGCGGGCCACGCTGCTCATCAGCGGTTCTTGGTCCTGCAGCACTTCCCTGGCAGGCAGGGCAGCAGCACACTATATCTCTCCTAGGTCCTCGTAGACAGGTGACAAGCTGTTCTCATCCACAGACTGCTCCTTCTTTTGCATGTGCTGGGGTTTCACCACCTGGCTGTACAGCACCTCCACATTGTTGTTGTTGCTGCTATTAAGGCTTGGTTTGACGACCATCTTCTCAGGAGCGGGGTTCACCCGCCGCCTGCCGGGGTCCATGTTTCTTTCAGCACCTTTAGGGATAAACGCTGCCTGGGGCTTGGGGGCAGGCACTGGCTTGGGGCCCTTTGTCTTGAAGGCAGGTACTGAGTAATCATCCATGCTGGGGTTGTAGGGATACTCGTAGCCGCTCTTGCCATCGTGGCCCTGGGTACGCCACGCCTCGTCTGTGGGCCGCGCTTCATCATAGATGAAAGTGGAAGGGGGCAGAGAGTGGGTGGCACAGCCTTCAGGCTCATCATAGATGGGCTCCTTCCGCGCTGGTGGTGCCAGCGCCTGGCTCCTCCCATCAGCCCGGACCTGCTCGTACATGCCCGAGTACAGCGGCACCGGCACCCGGAGCTTTGTCTCTTCCGGGGCTCCGCCGGGCACCTTGCCCTTGCTCCCAGGCTTGCTGTCTACGGGGTCTGAGTAGAGCGAGTCCAGCTGGGACCGGAAGCCCTTCACCGAGTCCAGGGGCTCCGAGTACACGCTGGACGGGTCCTCAGCCGGCAGCATGGCTTGGGGCACTTTTGGCAGAGGGGAGCGTGGGGGTGTGCTTGGGACCGCAGACTTGGCTTGCGGCACGGGGGGCTCTGGCAGAGTCCGGGTCTTCAGCAGAGACACAGCATCTCTCTCTTCCGCCACGGCACTGGGCCTGGGTGCCAGCCCTGCTTTCGGTACCATGGTGCTGTCCCCCTCCGCAGGCAGCTCCAGGCTCAGAGAGTCAGCCAGGGCCTGGCGGATCAGTACCATGCTGGGGCTGTCCGAATCCAGCGAGTCACAGCTTTGCCGGTTCTCCTCCACCTGCGCTTTCTGCTCCCGGATGGAGGCTTCCACCAGGCGAAAGATCTCATTGCCCTGCTTGGTCTCAAAGGTGAAGTTCCCTGGGCCAGAGTCGCAGCGCCTACCAGCTTCGAAGGAGAACATCACCTGCAGGGAAGTGCAAGGGTCACATCCTGCCCAGCACCCTGCAACCCCCCTGCTGAAGAGCAAATGGCTGCAGGGCCAGCCCTGCGCTTCCAGCAAGACAACTTCACTGCTGCTCCTTCCACTCCTAGCAATGAGGGTGGCTGCGGAGAGTGCTACTCTAGGGGAAAGTGTGCTCTGCAGCTGCACAGCCCCGCTCTGCCTGCACAGGGAGAGGCTGCGCTGCCCAGCAGCCTAGAGCAAGCTGTGAAACAGGAGTGAGACACACTGGAGGGGGCATCACTGCGAGATGCTCCAGGCCCAGAGCTGCAGGTCCTGCTGCACATTGGCTGCCTTACCTGAACTCTTCCAGCAGGGTCAGCAGCTGATACTAGATAGCCTAGGAAATAATATGCAGTTGGCGCTGGAGAGAAAGCAGGGTGACAAGGTGAGTAACAGTACTGCAGGAGAAAATATTATGAGCGGAAGGGTAAGTCAGCATTAGTCAGGAAGAAGGGAAGCAATCCAGAGATAAGAGATATAAGACAGAGGAACAGGGCTTTTCATGGGGAAAGGCCAGAAGCAGCAGCTTGGCTACTAATAGCCAATGAACAAAGCATTTGCCTTACAAGCATTATTCTGTTAACGGTATAGAGTATTTTAAAGAGAAGATTCGCAGCAAGACTGTGTTTCTTAGGCCCTGAACACACACCCACGTGCAGGTTCTCGCGTGCAGATGGCAAGACCCTTCCTGAACCTCAGTTCCTGAATCCAGGTGAGAGCACTAGTAAGGGAGAAAATCTCACGTGCAGCAGCCTCGCTTGCTCCGAAATGCTCCTAATAAAGCCAAGACACAGCTTCCTTTCCTTCCTTCCTTCCACAGCAACCTCTACAAGAGGCAATGGGCACAAATTGGAACACAGAACGTTCTGCCTGAACATGAGGAAAAACTTCACTGTGAGGGTGTCTGAGCACTGGCACAGGTTGCCCAGAGAGGTTGTGGAGTCTCCATCCTCGGAGATATTCATAAGCTGTCTGGACAGGCTACTGGGCAACGTGCTCTAGGTGACCCTGCTTGAGCAGGGACGATGCCTAAAGGTCCCTTCCAACTTCAGTCACTCTGTGAACCACAGCAGGACTCAAGTACACCTTGGCCCCAGTTGGTCCAGGTCTGAACGCTCCTAACACAAGCTCAGCCAAGCTGCCACTGCAAGTGCAGTTGTTGCGCATGCTCCTCACACCACATGGCTCTGCTCCTGCCCCCAGCACAGGCCCTGCAGACAGGCCCGATGCCTCCCCAAGAGTTGCTCAGACAGTTTCCATTTCTGTTCTCATAAAGTGCAGCAGAAAGCACCACGAGGAGGCTGCAGCTGACACTGCTGCTTCTATAAACAGCCCTGGGGAGACCACTTCCTTTGCATGCAGCACAGCCTGCGGGGCAGGTGCCTCTCGCACTCAGGGTAGCAGCATGAGGATTGGGGGATTCTTTGCTGAAGGATGTTGGGGAGGGGACAGGCCTGCGTAGGTCAGCCAAGCTCAGAGCAGCACATCCGGAACGGCAAACAAATCTAGAGTAATGGAGGTCTCAAACAGCCAAACCTGCTCACATCACTGTCCTTTAGGAGAGACAGATTGCAGCCAGGGCAGAAGAAGGTGCACGCGGAGCCAGGGCTGTAAAGAGCCAAGCTCCCTGCAGGCTGGGACAGCCCTGCAGAGTGCAGGAGCAGGGTGTGTGTGCTGCTGGCCCAGGGTGGGGATCACTGAGAGAGGAAAATAGGGGACAAGCCAGCTGCAGGGGCATCTGGCAGAGGCTGGAACAGTCCCAACGAGAGCGGGGCAA